TTCGAATCATCCCTCATTGGCTACTTCGTACAACAACATCGGTTTAGTGTACAGCGACATGGGTGACTACTCGAAAGCACGTGGGTTTTTAAAAAGGGATCTGGAAATCACTAGAAGAAGTCTATCTCGAGATCATCTCGATTTTGCTGCAACATATAGCTGCTTTGGAAGTGTGTATCGCAGTAGGGAAAATTATTCACAGTCACTTGATTGCTTGCAAAAATGCCTCACAATAGTTCACCAAAGATTACCAGAAAGACATCCGGATGAAGCTATTGCATACAGTAATATTGGTGATGTTCATCGTTTAATGGGTGATTATGAACAGGCAATTTCATTTCATCGGAAAGCATTGAATATTGAAGAAGACGTTCAATGTAATCCTCTCGAATGTGCAACGACATATATAAATTTAGGTGAAACTTACCGTGAAATGAAAGATTATACAACAGCATTAACGTATTATCAAAAAGGATTAGAAATATGTGAAAAGAAACTACCAAAAAGTCATCCTGATTTAGCTGTAGTATATCACAATTTGGCAAAATTATATTTATCTACTCGACAATATAATATGGCAATGAAAAATGTTCAACAAGCTGTAGAAATTGCTCAAGAAAAATTACCTTCAAATCGTCCTCATATTTTGGAATATAAAGAAACATTTGAAAAAATTCGAAAGAAAATGTAATTAGTTTTTTTTTTGATTTGCTGAATAAATTTATTTGCATTACAATTGATTTCGCTTTTCCGGCTTTTCTCGGCTCATTCTCGCGTACGCGCACGCGCGGCCAGGAAGACGCCTTGTAAGCCCGATGTGGGTACACGCAGAGCGGACCACGCCGGACTGTTTGGGCATGATCGTAGGCATATCGTACAATGACGACGGCAGGGACCTACGAACAGACGGCCTTCCCGAGTACTACACTGCTTTCGCCATAACAGGCACAAGAAATCTCCCTGGGTTAGGTTACGAAACCACCTAACAGGCTGTGATATAACATAGTATCTATCCCTCTCTGCATAATAACATCAGTATGACAGAAAAAAAAACATTATTCCGTCCGAAATAGATTATATCTAAGTTATCGATAAAATAACTTGAAAAGTTCTAGTGGCCAATAGAACTTTTCAACTTATTTATAAATTTTTTATCCCAATAAGAAAAAAAACTGAACTCAATACTTTTCATTATTCCTCTTTTTAAGAGAAAAAAAAAAAGAAACAACATAGCCTATTTGTGATTGAAATATATATATATCATCACATAAATTTATTAATACCATTGTAAATAATGTTGTGATAATAAGTAAATGTATAAATGTCATAATTATGTAAATAAATGTATAATGCACCTCCTTAAAAAAAACAATTTATTATAATACTTATTCAATGTACTGTTGATACAATAGATCGATTGAATTGAATGATTTTATTCAAGAAAATCATTCCTTATATATATGTTTCAAACATGAACTGTCACTCAATGATGATGATTAATAGAAAATTGATTCTGATCATTAGTTCAATAATCAACAAGATAATTATTTTCATCAACGATCAGTTTATCGCCACTCGACGATGTCTTTCATTTCTTTCATAATTTTCTGTAAAAAGTTGTGGGTGTATGTGTGCATGAATATGTACTTATTCTCTTTGCATCGCACTCACAGCCGTAATCCAGTGGCTTAAAAAAAACAGAAACCATTCATTCAAATGGTATTGTTCAAATTTACATGCAGGAAATTTCATACTTTTAGTTATTTCAGATAACATTAAAAAAAAACTGTGTTATTTACATTACTTTTTGACATCATTTTCATTGCATAATGGAAATTATTTTTGAAAACTAAGATTTTTTCATTTCTTTCATTAGTTTTGTACGAATTACTTTTATTTTTGAAATATGAAATTTTAATCATTTTACAAACGATAAATAATATGTATAAATTTTTCAAAGAAAAATCGTTTTAATCGATGTCTTTTGTGCAAAATTCATCGTTTGTCACGATTGCTCTGAAAATTTTAACCCTGAAACGAATAAATTTGAGTCGTCTTTACAAGTTAGAATTCTTACACATAGAACTGTCGAAAAAACGGAAGTTGTAAGGATAGAAAATATGTCGTGCCCTGTTTTTTCTAAGTTTATTAGATATCTTTATACTATCCATCTGACTAGGTAGTTATATCAAAGAAAATGAATTCAAGGTCTTTCTTTTTCATCCTTCTTATCATTTTAGTTTCATACATTTTGAATGATTAATTTTACGATATCGTTTTTCTCAGGAAAAACAATTTTATTAAAACGATGTAAATAACATCATTTTTGTCACTTTATAAGTCACACCTACACATTCAAGATTAACAATTATGTGAACATGTTCCACCCAAAAACTTAGTTTAATTTGTAAAAAACAATCTAGATATTGCATATCTGATGTTAAATCACGTTACAAGACATGTACATGTTTGAGTTTTTGACGAAGCTCTACATCAATTAATTACTAAACAAGATTTATTGTAAAATATATTCATGCATATATTTGTTTTGATGCATCAATAGCTTTCTAATTCATTTCATGAGTATTGTTCGGGATCCCATATTTCAAATCCATAAACTATTATAACATCAGTTTTATCTTGTTACGATACTGTAGTTATTGAGTGGTCTTTTGACTTTTCCGATTTCACCATGACATATTCTTGTTAATTGAACTAAGTAAAATAACTTTTCTTTTGTTAAAATCTTTAACGCAAAAAAAAAACTCCTCGAACTATCTTTGGTATTTTTAATGTTCAAACAAGAAAAGAATAAAATT